AAACCAGCTCAAGACTGAATACATTAACTGTAGACCTACATCAAACTTCCAATTTTTGGTTAATTTCTGATAATGCTAAGCTGAAGGGTGAAAGTACCAGAGCAAAGTAAAGAAACAAGGTACCATTAGGGAAAAACACATCAGTAATCAGCAATATAGGAAATACTGTTAGGGTTAAATTGTTGTTTTCAGGAGTTGACATCCTTTTACCCTCCCCTGCTTCAAGTTACCAAAAAACCTAACCAACCACCTCAAAACTCACTCAAACAACAAAAAACAAAAGAAAAAACACCCCCCCCCAAAAAAAAAAAAACAACAAAACAAACACTCCAGCAAAATAATCTTTTTTTCTCCTCCTACTGGAACCCCACCAAGAACTAGAGGAAAGCAGGAGAGCAATGTGTCTCCCCTGCTCAGAGCAAAAGGCAAAACTCCTCTAAACTGGAATGGGCTCACCAAGTCCAGTACCCAGCCAGCAGGAATTAGACCAAGGAGCAAGGGGGAGCAGGAACCCAGCTGCTACGTGGATTCCTCAGCATCTTCAGTGCATGTTGCTTTTTATCCAGGGCTTGGGGCAACTCCACAGTTAAGAGCTTAATGCACATAATATATACTTTGCAAGAGAAACATTATTCATTAACAAATCTGATTAAACTGCTAATGCAGTGAGCACTAGCTCAAGTTCACAAAGACAAATAGCCTCAGTGGTGCAGTGTTTGTGAGGAACATTACCCATAAATGGATTTTAACTATTTAAATTGGCTTCTGTTCAGAAACTATGAAAAGACACAATAGGGCAGAGAACACTTAATTTAGCTTACTGTGCTTAATGTGAGGGGAAAAAAACCCCATATAGATTAAGACTTCAGAACAGTAATACACAATTCTGCAAAGACATCTGTATAGTAATTCCAGATTTAAAAACGAGGTAAAAAAAAAAAGAAGCAAAAGAGACTACTTTTTTTTATCCCAGCAGCACTTTACTGATTATTAAAGATTTCTTGGTAACTGGTACTACTTAGTATGCATAGAACATTTAAAACTCATTCCATATAGACTAAGTCACATTCAAATCCTGGATTCCACAAATGTATACTGTGGCTTTGCTGCTGTACAGGCAAGATTGTTATGCTTTCATCCCTTTATAAGCACTGTGATATTTGAGGCTATGGAGGCAAGTTATTACAGGAGAATTTTAGCTTTTACCTTTTTACTAAAGGTATATTTTCACCATTTTGGTAGGACTGAGAAAAAGCTCCCACTGGCCACAACAGACATCTAATGGCTTTCCCTCCTTGCACATGCTACTTTTCCCATTTTTTCAGAAGCCTGCTATCAAATCCTCATAAGCAAGTAACTCTGGTGCAAACAAACCAGCCTTCTCCAAGATAATAGCTGCTTCTGCTAGATTACAGCCCTGCTAAGTATAGGTTCATTTTGAGCCCTTTGAGGCCAACCTACTTCTTTGCATTTATACAACAAGCCCTTATCTCCCGCTCGTCCATTCTGCAGCAAGGGGAGGTGTGGCAGTGGTGGTGGGGGCTGTCACAGGAAGATTGCTGGTGCTCCGTCGTGTGTCCTGCCTTTGATCCCATTTGTGCAGCAGCAGGTGCACAGCACTGACCTGCTAAACTGAGCTATGCTAATATGGCCACAACATTGCAGTAATTGTCCCAGTGTATGACTGAGAGGTTCCTTTGTGACCGAGAGCTCCAATTGCTTCAGTACGTCAGCCCACTGAAACGCATATTCTTGTATAACCTGGAAAATGAATACTTCAACACACCCCACCCCAGGTGGGTTTTTTTTTGGTCTTCCCATTGAACTTTTCTTTCATTCTCTAAAGCTCAAGATGAGCCCCAAACCAAAAGTCCCGACATCAATTGGAGTTTTTACTAACTCCGAGCTATAAGATTTGGCCCGTGATTCTAGAGCTATTCTTGCAACCTAAGAAATACTGCCAATCAGATCTCCCAATAATAATGAGCTGCATAAAAACACTGTTTACAGCGGCCCCATGTAAACTTTCCAATATATATTCAGCAACTTTTCCTCTTACAGAAGCCTATTTCATACATTCAAATCTTGTTTGATGGCAGTCACAGAACCAAGCAGTTTAGAATTTCTGAAACACCTAGGGAGACAGAAATCAAATGGTGCTCAAGCTAGTTAATTAAAACATTTCAGATTCTTTCACCTGTGGTGTCAAGCTGTTTTGTTAAACTAAGAATTGAGAGACTAACAGAGCAGGTGCTTCCGCAAGCACAGATTGCCATAGAAAAATCACTTTATAGAAGCCTATCAGAAGTAGTCTGACTACAGGATCTAATAGACAGGGCAGCGTATGCTCATTGCTTCTCATTACCTGATTGTGAAATCTTTAGTTAAGATGAGCTCTCATTGAAGTTAACAGGGATTTTCCCAGAGTAAGACTGCAGGATTGCGACCACACTGTGCCATTATGGTAGATATCACAAAAACCAGGCCACTTGTATTATGGTTTTCAATGGCAGCATCTGATCAGAAGCCAAGCAAATTTAATAGAATACTTCCTATTGATTTCATTACAGACCGGATTAGGAGAAGAGTCGCCACATGGCTGGCTTGGGTTGAAATAGTAGTACGAAGCATCCTTGAAGTTGTTTAGCAGGTTGTATGTATATATATCCCTACAACCCCCTTCCAACCCCCCCCAAAAAAAAAAAAAGGAAAAAAGTATTTAAGGAATATCAAATAATAACACGGAAAGGAAAAATAAAATCTAATCTGCAATCAGCTAGAATAATGTGAATGACTCCCATTTGGTATTTCAGGACATCATTTATTTATTTTTAGTGGAAAAGAATGTTAGAAAGGTCAGAAGCAAACATCTGCACACAACTGCACATCTGAGAAGCACCAATGAAGTCAGTGATGCTCAATCCATTTGTGCAGAAAGGCCAGACTAAGGCCAGTATATACAATACCAATCGTCCAAGACCTGTTCTTTTTTCTGGATAGCTTCTTAAGCTTTGGCTATGGAGAACCCCCCTGAAATCATTGTCAATGCATATGAGCCAGAGTATTCACCTCAGTCAGCAATTTCCAGGACAGAAGCCTTGATCTGTATGATCCTTGGGGCAGAAGGTGTAATTTATCTGTATTTATATGGTGTATATATATAAGGATGCCCCAGTCCTACCTATCATTATAGCAGCATAAAAAACAAGCAACACATAAATTCTCTCAAGGCTACTGAGCAGATTATTTAAGTAAACCACACATTCTTCCTTTCCAGACAAAGGAAGAGGAGAGAAACTGGAGAACATTTTAAGGGACTTTTCAGAAAACATTTACTTTGAGAAAGCAAACATTTGGGAAGGTTTCTTCCTACTGTGTTCTTAAAGTGCAATCCCACTTTCCTACTTACCCTAATAAAAGTGATAACCAAGATAAAAAAGCATTTTACTGTGTTGAACCTTGATTTCCCAGCCAACTAACCTCCTGCTGGAGGTTCATCTTTACTAGCATAGATGTGCTACCTCTTTCCCATTGCTGCAGCTTTGTGTTTGTAGTTGTTTTTCATGTTGCCCCAGAAGATTCTAGCTTTACATGGGCAGAAGAGAGACATACTAAGAAAGGAGTGGCAGAAAGATGGATGTGTGGGAAAGAAGCTTCTTTTCCAACTTATCTGTTTGTAACCATAAATGTAACCACATTTAGTAAAGTGTGCATCTAGTCTCAACTATGCTGCTTGATCTACATGTATGAATCAAATACAGATTTTAAGTGAAATTTACAAGAGTTGCCTTGTAATGCAGAGGATATTTTTCTTAAAAATAACATGAAAAGATAATGCTACCTCAACACATATTCTATGTTTGCAAATGTGCTATTGTTTGATAGATGTTAACTTCCCAGGCTCCCTTGTATGCATTACTGCCAGTTATCATCTCTCTAAAATGAGCAGACCAGTCAAGATGTGGCTTTACGGATGAACTTCTTTATTTTTCAAAGGCAATCTGTCCTTCTATTTCCCCCTCCCCCCTCTCAGATGTTGTTTTGGAGATGAAAAGAGACTTCCTTAGAAATTGTTTCCTTTCCATCTCAGTTCCTTTCTAATTGGAGATAGCTCAGTTGTAGGATACTTCAGGAAGGATATAAAACTAGAGTCAGAAACTTGAGATTCCCCATGCCTTTATTTCCCCACTTAACCAACCACTACAACACTGAACCATCTTCTAGGCTTAGCTCATTATATGGAAGTATTGGTCATTATATGGAAGTACTGTTATGAAAAGTTATATTACTCCGGTATCATTGTCATTTTATGACAACTCTTGGTGCAAGGTTTTCTTGCCTCTCCTAAAGCAGGAATGAATAAATACACAGCCCTTCTAGATGGATTTTCCTCAGGCAGTAAACCTAGACTTTCTGTACCAGAACATCCAAAGCACCAACTATCTCCTAAGAAAGGACCAAAGCAACTAGACAGATGAGAAGCAATAGCAGATTCAAGCCTCTGTGCACGTATAATTGGGACAAAGAGCCACATGAGTAAGGATTACACATGCATGCATAATAATATGTTCACCCAGCGATTACTGTGGAGAAAGCACTGCCCATCGAGATCTGCATTAGCTACTGTTCATGAACACAAAGCATTTACATTCTGCCTTATTGATGAACAGGACTGGAACAACCTTTCTTTAAGGAAAAAAAAAAAATAAATCACTGCAGAGTACAAAAAAGCATATGCTGAGGTATGATTGACAGCCGCCATAATGGACTGTCATGTCAAAAGAACTGCCTTGCTAATTCTCTTACATAATGAGCTAGATGCTAGGCTCGCCTTGCAAGTTTGATTGTGCACCCTTCCATCAATCTTCCCGACATCTTGGCATCTAAAATACAGCAAAACCACTTAACAAGGGCTCTTTAAACAGGCAAGAGGAGGGATGTCTCAGTGTATTAAATGTGATGGGGAGGTTGCTATGGCAAAATTTGAGCATGTGAACATTGCAGTGCAGAATTCCACACTGGTGGCTAGAACCGAGGCTAGCCATGCCTCCAGGTTCTGTATGTGTACTTGGACTGCATTATTTAAGGAGCAGAAGGAATATGGTTCTGGTGCCACTTTCATGGTAGGAAAAAAAGTTCCTTTGTCTAATCCTTTTGTGTGTGTATGTGTGTGCAGATCCCTGGGGTGTTGATGAGGAGTATCCAAAATGGACTGTATGCTGTCTCTGCCGCTTTCAAATGTGGGGCTCCATCCCCCAGACTCCTTCAGTAACTAAGACAGGAAACATATATGCATTTCTCTTTCTCCCCCCCCCCCCCCCCCCCCCCCTTTCATCTGGTTGTCACAGCTACATGATGCTGCCAGTTGCAATCACAGCTCAACAGCATTGGTAGGCAACTCTGGTAGCTTCATTTATTGAATCGAGAATTGCCATGTAGGTGTCGATTATCTGCCCTAGAGTTCTGATGGTTATAGCTTTAACTATTGGCACTTCCTTCATTACCAGCTCTCTGACTTCCCACTTTGTTTACTAAATTTATAATCCACAGAGCCCCTTCAGCTGTGAACTGCTCCCTCCCAGGCAATTGTAGATAAATTGCCAGCTCCACCCTAGGGCCCTGTAGTGGAGGGGGATTGAAGTGCACATCAGAGAGTGAAGTTTTGTGTATAAGCATTTATAAGGATTTACTGTTCTCTGGGTTATTTCACATTTTCCTTTTAGGAGAAGTTCCATGGGAAAGCTGCTGGGTTCCCCAGCTCCACACTGACATTTCTTAGATGTATTTTGTTCCTCTTTTGTTGTTACTGCTCATTTGTAGAGCTGTTGAATGGTTAGGATTGGAAAGGACCTTAAAGATGATCACAAAGACACCAAAATGGGTAACATACTAGAACCTAGCTCATATCTCAACCGTAACTGAGCACCTCATACACACAGAAGCCACCACCCTTATACCTGCTATTTTATCCAGGGACTTTTTGGGCTGTTTATTGAGGGATATTATTGTTTCTGCTTGTTCCCTTTCTCTATTTCTTTCTATTTCTTCTTGCTCATACATACCAGTTTTAAGCATCATTTAGTCCACACTCCCTACATCTGCCTTTTCCTGTTGGTCAAGAGACAACATTCCGCTCCACAAAGAATCAGTTTTTGCATGCATGATTCCATTGTTCTCACTTTGCAAAATCAAACTGTTTGTCAGACAGGTCCTGGTCTGAGTGAACACAAAAGCTGATCTAACTCTTCAGTATGATCTTCACAAGTAGTTATTTTCAGCCTCTCCTGTTTCCCTCTTTCTTGCACTGGGTTGGTTTTAACTTCCAGAGATTCAACACCAGAACCTTCCCTACGTTTTTAAGCATATTTAACAGGACTCAACTTCCTGCAACTTGGAAACATTTTCTTAAGGCACCCCAGCAGCTCCAAAGATAACCCCCCCTTCTATGCATTGCAGCTCTAGTAATAACAGCACCAACTCTAGCAATAACTCATACAGCCAACCTCCATGCTATTCACAGTCAAATGCCAGCTACAGAGAAACAACCTGATACCTGAAGCATCACTTCCCTTCTCAAACAACTTGCAGTACAATGTTTCTTTTACTGGAGTTTCTTACTCACCTTGTGCTCTCTCTCTCTTCTTTGCCATTCTAAACTCCTTCAATACTCTGGATTACTTCTAGCCCCCAAGCTCTTCCTCTTATCCAGCCTTTCCCTCACCTTTGCACACCTGCAGCCTCTTTCCCACACAGTACCTAATAAGCCTCAAAAGCTGTGCTTCCCTGCAGGGTCCTCCCTAATTTGTCACAGTTGTTGCTAAATTGAAGCCTTGAATGTTCAACTGGTAGATGTCCATCAATGTATTTAAAAGGCTGCATCTTGTAAGCTTGTTGTGGTAGAGGTGAGTTTTGAAGGTATGAATAGATATAGGAATGTTATTAAATCTATTTTTTTATCATAAAGCTTTGTTAGCAGTTCACTGTTTCCTTAGCATCTCCGATAAACTTTTTTTCCAGTATCTCTGTATAAACTTTTCAAAGCTGTATGTCTGTTTTGGTCACACACTTCAGTTCACTTATGAACACATTCACATTATCAGCAAATCATCATCTTCTTTGGTAATACATTCATCCTCTGGGATCCTGAATCCTGCTCCAGATAATCTTGTATACAACAGAAGTCTTGCCCATCCTGCAGATATCAGGTCTGTATAGGTGAGATATTTGCATAGGCACTGGGGGTGGAGTATGGGGTGCAGAGAGTATTTATGTAATGGAAGTATGTGTCAAGGACTCTGTTCAGCTCCTGATTCTATCTATCACAGGCTTTCCTGGTGATCTTGGACACCTTGCTTTATTCCTATATGACTCAACTTCTTAGCTGTAAAATAATGAAGATAATAATCTGTTTGGAATGACCAGTGCTCATAAAGTTGTGGGGAAAGAGCCATAGACAGGTAAGCAGGTAGAAAGATAAAAAGATCTTTCACTCCCATAGGTTAGAGTGGGGTTTTTTTGACCTACCCCTCTTCAGAGTACTTGAAAGTGAAAAAAGGATTATCTTTCTCAGTGGGCCAGACAGACTCAGTGAGAGCATTTACCTGGTTTCTAGAGTATCTCTCATTTCCATTGTCATTCAGGGAATTTTTTACTTTCTCCCCCCACCTTGTGTATCTGTTCTACTCCTAGCTCTGTTATCCTGAGTTCAAAAGCATTTCCACTCTCACTGTTCAGATGGTTTTGTGTCTCAGAACTCCAGACATCAGCAGTATATGACTTGTACGCGACATTTAATATATTTTTACATGTACATTTGCTCTGTGAGGCCTTTAACATTGCTTCTAGTACAAGCAGTCTCTTAAGAGAAAAAAGACTTTCATGGCTATCTTGTTTTGTATTAGCATGTAAAACTACCTCTCTACTTTCTTGCATTCTGTGGTTTCTTCTATGACAGTGCAGATTAATGGATGTGTTTTTTATTTCTTGGAAACATCTAATCATAGCATGGGAAGAGACAAGAAGCCAGCAAGAATCCTCTGATCAGTCAACTCTCCCTAGATCAAATGCTCTGTTTGGGAACATCTGCCTTGAAGATACCAGGTGTTCATAAAAAAATACCAGTAATAAAGTGCTTATATGTCAAATATTTGCAGGCATGTTTAAAAGTTTGTAACAATCATTCTTTTTAAAGTAACTAGGTTATAAGTTTAAGCTGAAACTAACATTCATAAGCCAAAGCTAGTGTGCATCTGCTTCTGTGGCTGGTATGACAGGATGGTCCAAGTACAGCCATGAGCACATTATAACATTTGATATTTTTAATCAAATCCCATTTTAAGGTGTGATGTGTTTTACTCTGCTAAAGGTCATTTTAGTTACAGTAGCATTATGGGTTTTCAATAAAACATTTTAAATGCCAGTTATATAACTGCTTTTAACATTTAACAGCCACATTGGTTACATGACCTGAGACAAAGGATATTTTCTCAGCACTTTGAGATATTATGGCTAAATAATCCTTATGGGAACGTTCGGTTTCATAATGGCCTCAGGTCATCCCATATTATGTGGCATAGCTTTTTTTTTTTTCACCAAAACAGTAATTGCTAATGAAGCCAATGGTGATGGAAGTTCAATGACATGGCAGAGGATAGAGGCTGTAGTCAGTAATAGCAGCAGACTCTGGCCAGTAGGAGAAGTTCATCAGCACTATTCAAGGACAAGTTGATGCAGCAATAAGGAATGAGCACACACTGATCTCTGTCAGTGCTGTGCCATGTGTTAAAGAAAAATAACTCAGGTAAACACAAGTTCTTTCCTCCCCTACATCTCCAAAGCACTGCATCATTAAAATATGATCTATCATAGGACATAAGATATATAGAATATAATACAGTATATATAAGATATAGTTTCAGGACATCATACCCAGGTGTATGAGGGCACACATAGAGTTATACAACTCAATACCTATCCTTTAGTTGTGGGACAAGGGGATGCTGTGAGATGAACAGGCTCCGTTTGATGTACAAGAGACTCATGACAGAGCTTACTATTGAGGGTGGACAGCTATTTCCTGTTAGGTTCTCTATAGAAAAATACCACTGGAGCAGCATCTTCAGCTGTAGCATCTCTCCTGCCAGCACTCCCAGACTGTGGATCTCATTCTCAGACCAGCAACCTTTTTGACTCCGAAATGAGACTCCATGTTGCAGATCATCACGAGCCAGTCAAAAGGACACACTTTTCTCTCGTATTTTTCTTACCTCTACCTTCAGATTTTGGGTTCTCGTGGTTAAAGCCACCTCTTCACGTGTGATCCTGAACTGTGTAGCACAGCTGGGTTTGGCAGGAGGTTCTAGCCATGCTTGTAGGCTTCTGCCTCCTCCCATCAAAGTAAGAAGTTCTTGTCTGACAAATCATTGCCAAAAGCCAAAAAATATCTTTAAAAAGCAAGATTTCTTAAGCCTCCTTTCTTTAAAATAGAAAGAAAATCTTTGTTTCAGAAATGAAATAAAAATGGTCTATCATGTGTTTTCTCCTGCTTTGAGCAGGGGATACTAGATGTCCAGCCTAGATTATTCTAAGAAAATGTATATGTATCTTGAAAAGTGATATAAGCAAAAGACATGGTGACAATCCTTTTTCACAGCTCACAGGCATCATGTCTTTCTCAGTGACTGCAGGTTGTAATGAAACTAAGAAGTTGCTGTGTTTCAGAATAATATCTTCCACAGCCAATTTTACCATGAGCCAATGAAATAAATGTTTCCAAAGTGAACAGCTGGCATCTCTTTTCATAAAAGATTCCCTTTTAGAACACTATTTCCAAACAATATTACAGTGGCTCCATTCACGTAGCTATAGTTAAGACTGTGTCAATACTTCTCTTATAAATCTTGTTTTTCAAGGGCTTATAGCTTTACAGCTAAGCCATAATTAGCTGGGATATGAGTTACAGCACAAGAGTTTAGTCTGTCTGTGAGAACATTTTTGCTAATATTAATAAAATCAGTTTTAAATCGTAGAAGAGTAAAACATAGTGCTGTATATGCATAAAAAGGATTCTTTAACATTAAACAGCTATGATTTATGAAAGGGGATTTTGACAAGTGATTAAAAT